TTAGTCAACAAGCTATTTCCAATCGCCTACGAGAGATGGGAAAAATTCAGAAAGTCGGCAGATGGGTGCCACATGAATTGAACGAGAGACAGATAGAGAAGCGCAAAATCACATGTGAAATTTTGCTCGAACGATACAGAAGAAAGTCATTCTTGCATCGTATCGTTACTGGGGATGAAAATGGATTTTTTTTGAGAATCTCAAGCGCAAAAAATCCCCAGGGGGGATAGACCCAGGTGCACCATCCACATCGACCGCATCGCTTTGGCAGGAAGACGATGCTCTGTGTTTGGTGGAATCAGAAGGATGTGGTCTATTATGAGCTATTGAAGCCTGGCAAAACGATTAATACCAAACGTTATCAACAACAATTGATCAATTTGAACCGTTCGCTGCTTAAAAAACGACCAAAAGAGGCAATACAAGATCATTTTTCTCCATGACAATGCTCCATCACTTACGGCAAAACCAGTTCGGGACACGTTGGAAGCACTCAGCTGGGAAGTTCTATCCTATGGGGCTTAGTCACCAGACTTGGCTCCTTCCGATTATCACTTGTTTGCATCGATGGGTCACGCACTTGCTGAGCAGCGCTTTGGTTCGTACGGAGATGTGAAAAAATGGCTCAAATGGTTCGCGGTAAAAGGGGAAGATTTTTACTGGCGTGGTATTCACAAATTGTCCGAAAGATGGGAAAAATGTGTAACTAGCAATGGAGCATACTTTGAATAAATCTCTTTTTATCATTTCATATTTGTACACATTCACTTACTAGTTGTTGATCCAACGGATGTTCACTTACCAGTGTACATCCGTTGGATCAACAACTAGTAAGTGAATATCGTTCTGCAAGGAAACGTATATGAACACACAATTAATAATTTTATAATACTACTGTAGTTCCGTCCATGATTGCGTTTGAAGATTAAAAGGGAGCGCAGTTTTATTGCGCAGTTTACAGAATTGTCTATGTATGTATGTAAATTCACACCGAAACGTTTAAGCAATAAGGTCAGCTTTGATCGAATATAGAATTTCTTTTACTTAATTGCTGGAATTAAAATTTATTTATCTAATTAAAAAAATTTTTTATACGGTATATATATATCGTATATATTGTATGTATATATATATATATATATATA